GATAGTATAAAAGATCCACGGGTCACAACGGGCTACGTCACTACTGTCTCTGAGAGAGAAACTATCGGAGCTAGCCACACTCAATAAACGCAAATGACAATCAATCAACACATTTAAATGTTAATGGGAGAATATATTATACATACATTCGTAACACAAGTGCACGGAGGTTTTCAGAATTATCTGTTCATGTTTTCATGACAAAAATACTTTTTTAATGCGACTAAAGCGATCGCTTTTTTAAAGTAGGTTAACCAGCCTCACTGTTACTCGCCTGCCACGGGTAAACCTTTGGGAACTATTTTCTTTGCACTCATTAAATAAACCTTTCGGCATGAATAGTGACTGAAGTTTATTTTGTGTGTTCAGTTGGTACAAAGCCGTATAATAAGCGGACCCCGACGCGCTTCGTCTGTACTTATTTTCCGATAGTCACAAAGTTGAAAAAATCCCTCTCATCTTTCTTCAGGTGTGAGAATTGTATACATTCTGGATTAGGAAAAACAATACTAATATGGATTGATGGGGTAAATGGTATAAAGAGAAAGTTTGTGCTAACTACATTCAGAAGAGCTCAGACGGACTTGATACAGCGGTCCAGGTCCAGTCCCAGCTAAACGTAGCTAGGACTGGATCTGGAGGCTCCAGAGTTGGTCCAGCGAAGTGTTTTGAAAAAACATATGTCCTTTTTAACCTTTTCATGAGAGAAATTCTGCCAACCACAAGCACCCACCTCTTGCACTTGTCCTGGTCTGGTCCTGGTCTGGTTCGATGTTGTTACTGCTTTCATATAGTCCTTTCATATAGTCCTTTTCAGAGTATCTGAAATCGCTCCGACAAGTACCATAACTGCAGTGTTTTGTTGTCACCATGATTCAATGATTTAGCCCAAGTAAATACACACGCGTATGTGGAAAACACAGTAGTACTCAACGAGTCGTACACAATGTTTGTCCGAAACATGCGCGCATGCGCAGTCATCTGAGCTATTTTTAGCACATTTCGGAAACCGGACAGTGCCCTATTTAGCTTTCCCATAGTCAATGTGGGAGTTTTTGCTCAATCTGAGAAGGATTATTGCATTGGGCAAATATCATAAACATAACAGTTATTATTATTATTATTATTGGTGCTAGAGGCAGGGGTTGTTGTAGTAGTGGTGATAGAATAATCTGTTAATTTCTGAAGGTTTCTTGCCTGAGGTTATACATCTCAAAGCATTTTTCTTTAAAGTGGTTCTCACCCCCGCTCCTCGGAGCTTACGTTACTCACATTTCCTGTTCAAATCTTCCTCTAAATGGGCGTAGCCTGGAGGACTAAAGGGGGCGTGAACGAGACTGGGCCGTTTACATTGCTCTGGGCGGGGGACTGCTGACGTCAGGTCCAACTTCTGTGCCAGTGTTGGCGCCAGATTCAAAATTCAAATGTAGTAATACAGGTCGCCAGCAGATGGCGCCTCACAGACGGTTTTAGGCAGAAAGTCTAACTTTCAACTAATTTGCACCAAAGTGAGAAGATTATGACCAGGATATGTAGACAACACTATTGGACACTCATTTATACCGTTTATCAGCAAAAAAAAGTGGATTTGAGGGTGAGTTGTCCTTTAACTTGCGATATGTTTTCTATGTAAACATATTCTTCTTCCCAGGTTCTAATTCTGTGCCTACAAAGAACGCACGAAATTTGCAGATACACAGCAGAGCATATGCTTCATAGGACATAAGATGAAGCAGGGTTTATTGTAACACAGGTTTTTGTCACAAATTCATAACCAAAAAACCACTAAGACATTATTTTTTTAAATTTATTTATCCGGCTGTGTATTGTATGTATTAAAAAATACATACAATACACAAACAAACACAATTAAAGCCGCAAGCGGCGATGAAAGGCCTCGCCACTCTTGCGACCGCCTCCTGGGCGCCAGTCCCACAAGCATCACGCCAACGAATTTGCAGCCCGATCTGACCGATCCGGGACATGCACCCTCTACGTAGAGTAGTATTTTGCTCGTACAGATGTAAAGATTTGATTGTGCAACTTTGGTGATGATCGGAAAAGTTTAGGTCAGAAGCCTTCCATAGGTGGCGCTGTAGAGTCCTAATAGGTGTGTATTTTCACACCATTACGCTCAGGCCATTACCAACTGTTAGTGAGCCTGTGGTCAGGAGAGCATCAAACATGGAGAAATTCCCCACCACCTCGCATGAAAACAATGACAAAATTCTAACTTTTTTGCGATGATTGCATAACTTGCATAGAGCTCATATTGGGCGAATGATTTTAGTGTCATTGCGTTCAGGCCATAACCTAATATTACTAATGTGAGTCTCAGCTCTGTATGTCTGAGCCTGTGGCTCTCAGGGCTCAGCGAAAACGGCCATTATTCGCCATGGCGAGGGACGAAAACGGTGAAGATTTTCTAACTTTTTTTTCAATGATTATATAACTTCAATCCGTCCAGATTGGGAAATGTCATGGTAGAACTCTGTATGATGAAAAACCAGGGACTAGTTCGAAGTTATAAATGAAAAGTCAAATTAGCGGCGAAACTTCAGCCCATCATGGCCGACTTCCTATTGGTCCCAGAGTGAGGCCCAGAGAGAGTTTTATGCTCGTCTCATAGAGATCTATCACTTATCTGAATTTAGTGTACCTACTCCAAAATATGCATGCCTGGCTCCCATAGGCTTTGAAAATTTGACATGTCCAGGGGGCGCTATCGTGTTGCCGTTTGTCGGTCAATCTTGAAACGTTCGTTTTATCAAATTTTTTGCCTAACCGGTCGTTTTAGACCCCCCATGTGCAGACTTTTGTGCATGTCTTCTAGGGTTGGCCGATATTTTTTTTGTACCGGTATACCGGTATAAGTAAATTAAATGATAAGAAAATGCCTTATACCGGTGAAAACGATCATTTAACACTGAAAACAGCGAGCGGAAGACACGTTTGTGTGCGGCGCACTTTGATGACGCATCTGCGCGGCACGTGTAGCAGAGCGGCGTGCAGGGACAACAACAACAGAGCAGAGAGCAAACATGGCTGAGGGCGGCGGTGAAGACCATGGTGAAGACATGCAGATTGTAGAAGACATTGTGCCAAAACGCGGAGCTACCTCAAACATATGGGAGTAGTTTGGGAACTAGATAAAAAGAAGCAGTTGTGTGTAACTATCGACAGTGGATCTAATGTTGTGAAAGCAGCTGCAACAACTGGACTCGAGTGGCTTGCTTCGGACACTCGCTCTCTCTCTCTCTCTCTCTCTCTCATAGTGCCATTGGTAAGCTTTATTTACTGTTTACTGTCATTCATTTTACTTCAATGCATGTGTTTGTCTACATTGCAATATAATTACAAATAAGTTATAATTACATAATTATAGAAACGCAAAAGGATACAAAAAATATATACAGTATTTGATAATTTTGACTATATTGGGATTAGGAAACATAAGCCAAAGTGATCAAATAATAATTTGATAATGCTACACTTTTTATATTACAAAGGACAAACTTTTATATATTTTACAAATTACAAATGTTCACCTTTATTACATGTTGCCTGCAATTTTCAGTATGTACAAAACAGAATTCTCTACAATTCAGTTTTGTTAATACGTTTTATATACAATAGCTGTATTACAAATTTTGCTGCCAATAAATCAGTAAATGCACTTTGAGGCAAGTGTGTTTAAAATGATCAGTGCTAAGTTTTTATAGCTTTTATATGAGGCTTTGTTCAAATTATCATATCGTCATATCGTGATACATACCAACAAAAATCGTGATACATGCTGAGGCCCATATCGCCCAACCCTAATGTCTTCAGGGTCAAAAATCGAATTGTTTCGGCGGAAAAAAAGTGAATAATAATATGAAACCGGCGAATAACAATAGGCCTCCCCAATACTACGTATTGGCTCGGCCTAATTATGAAAGCCACTTGTACCAGCGTGTCCTTATAGTTGAATCTTGACTACAGATTTCTTTGTCATTGAACCAACATGCTAATGTGTAGAATAAGCCCACACCTGTTCACTGTCACTCAAAAAGGTGTTGCCGTGGGTCTGAACGAGTAGGGTCTTTCTGCGGCCTGCAAGGCAGAGGCGTGTCGGGAAGTGACGTCACTACACCATACAAATGCATACCAAATGAAGAGTGTGTAACATACTTATTACATGTAAACTATGAATCCAAATCCATATTGTGTCATTAATAATTCACAGATATCCTTAAAAAACAAAGAATTATTTATTTGTTAACCACGAGCCACGACTTCTGACTGCTGAGCCGCTGGTGAGTCGCTGGTTAACAGTACATGGAGATCAACACAAACGGATACTAGCTGAAAAAGAGTGTGTAACATACTGATTACATGTAAACTATGCCTCCAGCTCCATATTGTGTCATTAATAATTCACAGATACCCCTATAAAGCAAAGAATTGTGGTATTTTTAACAGTAAGCCACAACTTCTGACTGCTGAACCACAACTCATGACTTGTGAGTTACGCGAGTCACTGGAAGTTGCAGTGAGTTAGGCCCAAAGTCAAAACTAAACACTGGAAGACAGCAATAGAATATGGAACTGTCTTCCCAAAAAATTGCAACAGGAGTCCTCGTGTGATTCTAACGATTATGTGTGTATTACCTTCCATGCTCTTCATGTTTGTACCCTGTAAGATTTTAATTTATGTTTTTAATATTCTGTATGATTTTCATGGTTGGTTTTAATGTTTATAGATTTATGCCTCATGTGGTAAGCGCTGTACAAATAAAGGTTGATATAATTGAGTGTCTTTTTATTTGATATAAAAGCCTACATTGTGGAACCTGACTGTATATATCTTATCTAACACAATATCTACCAGCCAATGTGTTCTATCAACACATTAATTAAATCTTGCTCACGTGCTGGGTAATCACAGCTGATCTTACTGTGTGATCTACAGTATGATAAATGCAGCAGCCTGTGCGCCGCCGCCCCATCACTCACCGATGTCCCAGTTGTATGCGTTGGCCTCCATCTCCATTTTGCCGATGATGTACCAGATGCAAGCCATCCAATGTGCGAGCAACGCGAACATGGACATGAGCAGGGTCAGAACCACTGTGCTATGCTGCGAGTACCGGTCCATCTTCTGCAGCAGGCGAAGCAAGCGCAGCAAACGCACCGTTTTCAGAAGGTGCACCACAGAGACCTGAGGAACAGCAGACATGAGAGTTGAGTAGAGAGGAATAAAAATACTGGAACGTGCCATTATCTCCCAAATCCAGCAATATCTAATCCGCTCCTCATTATTCAAAACATTTAAATCTGGTTTTTGCCCTCACCATACCACAGAAACAGCCCTCCTGAAAGTAACCAATGATCTTCTCCTTGCCGCCGACTCTGGTTCACTCTCCATCCTCCTCCTCCTCAACCGCAGTGCAGCTTTGGACACAATCAACTACAGCATCCTGACGACTACCTCCATCAGCATCTCCGGCACAGCACTCTCCTGGTTCTCCTCCTACCACTCTGTCCGCCACCACTATGTCTCAATAAATAATGTCAAGTCAATTACTCCTCTGTCTTCACTGGTGTTCCTCAAGAATTGATACTCAGTCCCTTCCTCTACATTATTTACATCATTCCCCTAGGCTGCATCATGTCACCATGGACTGAATTTTCAGTGCTAAGCAGATGACACTTAGTTCTACATTTCCACTAAATCCATCTCTCCAGTCATTCTCTTCACCATCACACACTGCCTCTGACATTAAAGCATGGATGCACTACAATTTCCACCATTAATGGTCTTTCTGTCACTCCCTCCCCCCTCTGTACGCAACCTCTATATACCACCTAAACACCCTCTTCCCACCTTTGCCCATCCCTCATACAAGCCACTGCAGAAAAATCCTCATTCACGCCTTCATCACCTCCAGGCTCACATACTGCATCAGTCTCCTCTATGGTCTCCCTTTCACTCATCTTCAAAAACTACAATACCTCCAGAACTCTGCTGCACAATCTCCCCAGAGAAGACATCCCTCCTGTCTTCAAAACAGAAACTTTAAAGCACGATCAGGTGACGAATGTGTCAGTGTCTCAGTCTCTGCAGCCTCTGCTTCACTTTGAATTAACTGTGTCAGTGTGTCGAAGGATTTTATTGACTCAATGGCTGTATCCTAGCCTGGTCGTACCACACCATAGTACAAATTACATTTCGTACTAAGGTCTGGAGGTGCTCCATTGAGCTCCGTTTACAGATAGGAGGGGTTAAAGAAGCTATACCCAATTTTTTTTCAAAGTAGTTCATAAAAATGCTTTTTACTACATACAAGTTGTATCATAATACATAATTTAATTGAAAACTTGAGGTCATTGATTCCACTGTGTATGAAATTCAAGCAGTGAAAAGTGCTGAGTAGAGTCTTAGCGGGCCGCTCGTTCTCCTCCACTCACAGAACGAGCAGCGAACAGCCTGCGTCCTCTAGCCTCTACGGCGCTGCTTAATAGCAGGGCTTCGACTTCAAAATTAGAATATAATTCTAAAATTAATATATATATATATATATATTCAAACAAATATTAGACAGCCCTTATAATTCAAAATGTATTTAATGACTGCAAATAAAATAGTTAGCTCCCAAAGGTTTCATCGGGACGTGCTAGGCAGGTAACAGCTAAGCTAGCTAGCTGTTTCATGGTAACTTCCGGGTTTTTCGCGATCGCTTTTTGTCACTTTAAAACAGTATTTTTGTCATGAAAACGTTGACAGCAAATTCAGAAATCGTCCGTGCATGTGTGTTAAGGATGTATATGTATACTGTATTGTCCGATTAACGTTTAATGGTGTTGATTGATTGATATGTATTTGTTTATTGAGCGTGGCTAGCTCCGCTAGCTTCTCTACACAGACAAGTGTGCAGAGAAACTGCACAATGTAGTGACAGGCGCTGATAGCTTGTTGTACTTGCGGAGTAATGGCAGTATTTTAAACACCTGAATTACAAACAGAGATTGCATTGGGGCTGCGGTCATTATTGGTTTGAGAGTTCTGTTATCAAGAAAAAATGATCGGAGGAATTGCATTCAATGGAGTGCTGCTGCTGTGAGGAGCTGTATAACAAATTATAATTAAATATTAGAATATCTTCTAATGTTTTAATTAATACATTCGGACGCGAATGGTATTCTTTTACTTAAATATTGTGTTAGCAGTGCATTGCTTTAGTGCCATTTAAACAGTGATTGTTGTACAGCTTACAAGTTGCGCTAATGCTAATGTTAGCATACGTATCAGATCGCAAATAAAACTAGGTGGCTCCGTGTTATGAGAGCGTAGGGGAAATGAGAAGCCTGTGAGCGAGTTGGGGGGGGCGGTGCTAAACATTCAAACATTGCAGAAACGGGTATAGCGCCTTTAACTCTTTTTGCAGATTGAAACGTCTGGATCTGAGTTTACCGTGACGTATGTAATGCACCCAAGTGAGTCGTTAGCATTTAGCCTAGCCATCTCCTTTGCCGCTAACGGAGCCCGTGGGGACTAGCGCCACAATTTTTTCAAGCGATTACATTTGCCAAACATTCCTATTGCTCCCGCTTCAATTTCTAGATAGAACCAGACCAGATTACTTTACTATCACATTTTTTGCCATTGCCAAACTACGACCTTCCCGTTCGACGCAAACTCTTGACGTCACCCACAATGAACTACCACACCTGCCTTCCTCGCTCGCTGGTTGGTTTGTAGGGGTGTCCGAATGTGAAGGGGGAAAAAAGTAGTGCACTCAAATTTTCCCACAATGCATCTCGAATTGTACTAAGCAGCGGTGGTCACTAGACTGGTCAATATAGACCACAATGCATTGCGGGCAGAAGAAACAATAGCGGAGGCACGGGGGGACTAGGAGCGGGACATTAGCTACAAATGTGAGTATTTATTCATCATAGATATGTAAATGTGTAAACCGTGATATATTGTTGATGATAAGATGCCAAAATGCACATTTGAATTCAGAATACCGATCGCCTTTCAATGCGAACCTGCCAATGTTATGCCGTGAAAATGCTAACAGCTCATACTGCTATCACTCATACGGGTCACTGGTGGTTAGTCAATAATGTTATTAATGTACTTGTGCTGTACGTATAGCATAATTTGTGTGTTTAATGCTTTTAAAGGGATTAACACTGATTTGAAGTGGCTATAACCTTGTTGTCCCCCGTGGTTTAACTCAGTTTGTCCCAAGCTAAGCTCACGCTGTTTTCAGTCCATTCAGATAAAACACAACGCATGTATCTTTAGGGAGAAAACAAACCCACACATTAAATATTAAAGCTACAGAGAGGAATCAAACAGATAGCTCTGGTTTTAATTAAGTATATATTTTGTAAATCCCACTCTACTAGACTCCTGTTAAAGACTGGGAATGTATTTACTGTTGATATGAAATAAATTAAATGATTGAATAGTGTTCATGTTTATGTTTGTAAAGGCATTCTACTTCTGCTCTTCCTCAGAGTGTCTGTTTCTACTCCACTACTGTGTAATTGTATTTAAACATTTGACTAGGACAGCACATGTCAATTAACATATTTTTGAACATATATGTCGACCCGTCTGATTGTAACAAAACGCTCATTTCCATCTGTACTCCCAGGAGAACGGGGTCTGTTTTAATTCACAATTTTTGTGAATTTCTTTTCCAGAGGCGTCTGTCTTCCAGAGGCCATCATTTCTTCATCCATCTCCATCACCTACTGCTTCTGTGGATTACAATACAAACTGCAACGACCAATATTTTCATTTGTTTATTAATACAAATGAAGCCTGCTCCTCTCGCCGCTCCAGCGTCCCCGTGCACACAGCGTGGGTTGCCCGGAGCTGAGAATCAACACCCCCGCTCCCCTCCATGTGTTCAGCAGCGCCCTGGTTCGGACTCATCCCTGGATGAGCCCGCTGGTTCCGGCCATGGACACCGAGCGCCTTCTCCGCGGCTACGTCCACTCTTCGCCCCGACTACTTTGATTGTTGGAGATTCCATCGTGAGACACGTCCGCTTTTTTAACGCGGTCACTCAGTGTTTTCCCGGAGCCACTGTACCAGACCTGCTCATACGTCTCCCTCCTCTGCTTCAGTCCCTGCCTGATACCATTTCAAAGGTAATCGTGCATGTGGGGATCAACGACATGAAGCTGCAGCAGTCCGAGGTCACAAAGAAGCATTTTATGGATCTATTCCGTCTTCTCCAGTCCTCTGGGTTGTGTGTTTTTATCTCTGGTCCATTCCCGACTGTAAACCGGGGAGACTGCTTGTACAGTCGCGTTGTGGCGCTGAATATGTGGCTCCAGTCTACATGCAGCACTTTTAACTTTGTTTTTGTGAACAACTTTGGCCTGTTCTGGAAGCGTCACGTGGCCTATCGTCCAGACGGTCTGCACCCGAACAGATACGGCACCAGTTTGTTGATGGACTTTTTACGCCATGTTGTTCAGTGCTCCCCGAGGGGGGCGTGACTGTTTACATCCGAGGCCTCTCGGCCCCCACTACCACCTTCCTCCTCCACTCCAGCACCGGGTGAGTACTGTGGTGCAAACACTGACCCCTGTCCGTCTGGCAGTGTAATACCAGTCCTGCCACTGAACGGCACTTACTCAGTCATGCATCTGGAACTTAACAAAGTAAAACAGAGTTCACTTTTTAAACCAATAGAGACAGTGTGTGTTCCTCGCACCGGCTCAGAAATGTGTTTTAATTTGAATAAACACAAATATAACAGAAGGACAGCAGTTAGACGGTCCAACTCAGGAAATCTAAATTCCAATTCTTTGTAGTCAATCAACTAAACCCACTGACACTGACATTATTTTTAACCTTGCTCTGCTTAATGTCAGATCACTATGCAATAAATCCTTTTTAATTAATAATTTTATCTGTTCTTATGATCTTGACTTTATGTTTATGACTGAAACTTGGCTTGACCATAATACAGAAAATGCAGTTTTAATAGAAACAACACCACCAAATTTCAAATTTGAATCAGAAATTCGAGAAAATAAAAGAGGAGGAGGCACAGCAGCAGTTTTTAAAGATTGTATTGTCTCCCATAGAGTACCTCTTGGGAAATTTTCCTCATTTGAGTATGTCTCTTTTAAAATAGAACAAAAACAATCTTCTATTCTTATTATTGTTGTGTACAAGCCGCCACAGTCATGTCATAGTTTCACTGATCATTTCACCGAGTTGC